AGGCGGACAATAACGACAGTTGTAACTATGCTACTATCCTTCCCGGTAGTCCAAGACTCCGCTCCACTTGAAAATCTGAGAGATTCTTTAGCTCCAGCAAAGAGCTAGTCCACTCTGCAAGATATCATATAATTCAGAAACCAAAATCTTGTTTGGAACTAATTACTTTCAGAACCTGCTCTGTTTGTCAAATGTACTTACAGGCTTGGAATTCCACATCCGATCGCTTCGGTACCTCCGAACTACCTGAGCCGTCAACCTGTAAACATCAGATTCAACCAAATTACTCTCCAACACTTCGAACTGGTTAGAAATCGGGCTTTTTGAAGTCAGAGCACACCTTGACGCTGCTAAATAACTGGTTTAGAACGAATTTCTCAAAGACATAGCAATACATGGATACATGGAACTTTCTTGGACGGACGATCGTTTAAAATGGAACCGTGATACATGGAAAATGGAAAAACTTCAAATACAAAGTCTAAGCCACATCTGGATTCCGTTGCTTATCTCTCAAAAGTACAAATCTTCGCTTGCATGTCCCACTGCAAAGAACCATCTCCAGCAGTAAAAATCGTTTTCAGTAATCCACCCCCTTTTCAGCTATGAAACCCATTTGAAAAATGGCGATGCTTTCGACATGAGACGAGTAGAAACCTCTGCTACCGGAAATGTTTCCGCTGTGCTAGCATTTTCTCTGCGATCGTTCTGCGACGATTCCGACTTCGAAAACTACCCAGATGACGTCTACAAGTGTTGCTTCACCCTCGAACCACAAGCTAACCCTGTTCGTTTTTCTCAAACTACTTTCTTCAGAGGAATTAGTACGTTCCAGGACATTATCGAGTTTGACACGTCAGGTTTACCTATTTTCACTGATCCAAAATACTTCCGAGATTACGGCTGGAAGGTGTCCGGTACCGTGCCACAGAGCTTAGAGGACCCCGCGCAGGTGGCGCAGGTGAGCGTGTTGTCGTTGTATTGTAGACTGATTGGGCTTCTTGCAGCTTGGCTTCTGTTTGAACCTACAAAGATCGTCTTCATCAGTTCGTATTGAGCTGACAGTGCCAATGATGGTGTGTGCACTGCTATTCCTACTCACTCCTTTCCTTGGTGTGATTAAAATACAGGTGCACGAACAAACAGTATTACGTGTGATAGTACTCATGTGTCTAATGGTTTCTTTATAGATTTGCGCTAAGTTTTTTATACTCATGCTACAATTTTTGACATTCCTACTGTTCTCGAACAGAATTTCGCCGCACCTTGGAAGTGCCGCAGCCACTCCTAAACTTTGTCAGTAACGGTTTGATTTCTCCTCTCTTTGTCTCTAGGGCAACAACAAAAACTCTAAGATTTCAGTGCGGTTTTTGGAGTTCTCTGTTACTCTGAACGGTCTTTCCCTTGCTGCGTCTATTTTCTTATGGGCATGCACGAGAATCCGACGAGAATTACCACCATGGGGACAACTTACACAGTGAATCAATTCCTCGAGCTGTCGTGATGTTAGCCAAAACAGATCATTTTAGGCTTTCGTCGTTTGTTAATCGCTTCTTGTGCGTACTACAGACACATTCCGCTGACGATGATGAAGATAGCGAGAAAGCACCAGCCGGAAATTACCAAAAAGTGGGATTAAATAACCTCATTTATTAGGTCTTACCTGAGTTTATCGAGACTCAAGTTCCCCATTGCAGGATTGGACGGCCGCGTTTATCGCAGTGCATGCTCTCACAATGAGCGTTTTCTCCGTCATCTTCATATTTGGGTATCTATTTCTGTACTGATAGGTGGATTCGCTTGAGATCTAACAGAAAATCACGAAGCTTCTGCTCAATACAAAGTGACGATCAATAGCCTCACGCATGTACATTCCAGTTTATAAAGATTACTAACAATAACTAATTATACCTATAATTTATTCAAATCCCCTTAATTGTTTATGAGTAGATGATGTCTTGTAATCGAAT